TCTGTCGTCTGCCCCTCTGGCCCCTATCCTCCACTTCTACTAGCTAGACGACCCAACCGGGGTCACACAGGAGGGGGGGGTTGGATCCCCTCCTGCGGTTGCTGCCTGAGATATTTTGATTGCGAGAAGGGTACAGCAATCCCTTTCCTCGCGACTTGTGAAGTCGATCAAGTTTACGAACAACGTGCTTTGCAGCGCATCGCTTCCAACGGAGACCAGGATGTCTAATTAGTGAGTGTAGAGTACCGTATCCGAAAATCGTACTCAATGGATTTGGACAGCTCCTGGAATTTTATTTTCCTCAATTTGTTTCTCCAGAACAGTATCATATTGCAAGATACTGGCATTAACACGGATCTGGACGGCCAATTTCTATCGTTATATGAGGAAGATCCACCAACGTTCCCATGTTTTCCCGAGGAAAACTAATGTCCGCGGGAAGAATCCACGTGTTCTTCTGGTGCTGACGACATGCAATAGTTGGTTCAAGTGATGCCAATGCGGGGGGAACTTTAGAGGGGTCCCCGTCGTTATGAACCGGGGGAACCGTGGTAACGTAGGGGGCTCCGTGGCGATAAAGGAGGTTCCGTGAATTATTTGTGGCCAAATGGTGCACTTGCGGAAAGAAAAACTCTGGAGCCAATCGATGTAGCCCCACGAGGCGAGACTTGAGTAGGTTAACTTAACATGAGTAGGTGTTTCTTTCCGTAAGTTATCGCGCAATACGTGATGCACGGACCATATATTACCGATTCCACGCAGGCGAAGGATTGGAAATCCTTGAACGGAAACGGTAGGAAGGCCATGACGTGCTGAAGATAGATGTTAAACTCGGCAAGGAGTGGTATTTTAGGATTCAAGAGGGTGTCATGAAACGGTGCCCATTCATACCCGATGTATTTTTGTGCGCCTGACCTCTTGGTCTTTCTTAATTATCCCGAAAGGACATTTATTTTTGAGAAAAATGTAATGTGCATATGCATAGCTGCATTGCGTTGCAGCACCGGTCGTCGTGACCTACCCCGAAGGAAACATGACAGTATGGTAGTGTTTGGCGTGTGCCTTGACGGGGGGGAAGGGGAGTTCACCGGGCATCACAGCACCGAAGGGTTACGCGGTTTGTCTTACGGCTGTGCTTTACTGCTGCAGCTAATCAACATGCTGCTCTCTCTCTCTCTCTCTCTCTCTCTCTCTCTCTCTCTCTCTCTCTCTCTCT